AATAGAAGCTGATAGCGTGCAATATATCTCGAGCTGCCATTGCAAGCAGTGAAAATATATCTGGTAAAGCTGCTGGAGGAAATTCCATTGTGTTGTCGGGCTCTAAAGGAGTGAATCCAGGTCTGTAATCATAGGTTTCTAGCCACAATTGAGGATCTGCATTATAATCGGAAGTCTTGCACCAGTCACGGGGATCATTGTTATTAACCATATCTGCAGCTGGGTATGATGCTTTCTGGTGGAAGTAGAGGCGAGCCGAATCTAAACCCGACCTCAAAAGAGCCCCATCACTCACTGGAAAACTGAATGATGGCAGCAGAATAGAGTGCTAGTGATTGTGACAAAGTCGAAACAGATAGTTTGTAAGAATCTGATGGAAGGCCTTCACCAGGTGCCAGATCAGTTAGCTTCACACGACCTAGAGATGGCAGGCCATTACTTGCCATGAAACCCTTTGGGTATACTTGCTACCTAATTTTGAAGAGAGGCACAGGTTACACTGACAAACTCAAAATTAAAAACTGAAACAGCATAATCATTCATCAATCAGAATCTCTCTCTTTTTTTCTTATGAGAATTTAGGAACTCCTTGACCCCTAAGTTGAAGCCACAAAACTGAACCATCTACGTACTGCAAGAAGAAAGTATATGAAGCATAAATATATACGTACAAATACATGTGTGTACATTATGAACATTTTATATTGAAAAAGTGCTCTCCTAAGGTCCTTAAAAAGTCAAGCTGCTCAACTATTGATCGTCTATGTACGCTAGAAATGCAAGATCTATGATACGTTGCATGCCGAGGGGACATTTGACCTATGTATAGATAAAGTTAGAAGCTAAGTTTTTCCAATTACTAGTATGAGCAACAACAACAACAACAACAACAACAACAAAGCCTTTCCCACTAAGTGGGTCGGCTATATGAATCCTTAGACGCCATTGCGCTCGGTTTTGTGTCATGTCCTCGTTAGATCCAAGTACTCTAAGTCTTTTCTTAGGTCTCTCAAAGTTTTCCTAGGTCTTCCTCTACCCCTTCGACCCTGAACCTGTCCCGTAGTCTCTCCTACTTACTCGGATATCCTCATTCCCAATTATCCTTTCTCGTTGCCACACATCACGAAGCATCCTCATTCCGCCACACCCATTTTGTGTACGTGTTGATGCTTCACGCCCAACATCTGTGCCAATACAACATCGGCCTTATTGCCTCCTAAATTTTCCTTGACTTCAGTGCCTACGACGGTCACACACAGCCGGGATGCACTCTACACTTCATCATCCAGCTTGTATTCTATGGTTGAGATCTCATCTAATTCTCTCGTTCTCTTTGCACGATAGTCCTAGTAGCGAAACACGCTTTTTGGTGATCTTCGCTAGATTGCTCCGGTCATTAGTGGGTAAGTATATAAATGGATAGAGACAAGAAAGCAAACACAAGATGTACGTGGTTCACCCAGATGGCTACGTCAGAAATAGAGGGATTCTCATTAATTGTGAAGGTTTACCAAGTACATAGGTTCAAGCTCTCCTTTAGTGAGTACAAGTGAATGATTAGTACAAATGACATTGGGAAATATTGTGGGAGAATGATCTCGTAATCACGAACTCTAAGTATCGGAACGTATCGTCTTGATTGCCTTATCTGTCTCATAGGTAATGTGGCATCTTCTCTGGAGTACTCTTCTCCATCCAGGGTTGTATCTTAACTAGTGGAGATGACAAGGTAATGTATCAATTTCACTTGAAGCTTACTTGTAGTTTCAGGTTGGTCAGCGCGATACAAACCATGTAGTGGAGTCCCCAAGTCGCCGAGCTAGAGGATCTGCTAAAAGAGGTGACAGACAAGGTAAGCAATCAGAGCTCGGCTGATTGTTCACTTCTCCCTATCTTGCAGGCAGCATGAAGGATAAAGAGAAGAAATGAGAAGAGATTGATATGGGTACTTTGCTTTTGAAGAAGTAACTTCCAACAGGCTTATTCTTGAACTGAGCTGGAGGGTTTTCTGTTTCCTCCGAGTATAAGGCCGACTGAAGGATTTGAGGGTCAAACAAGTCCATCAAATCTAGAGTACGTTCGACCCCTGATATGGGATACTTTGCTTTGACAGAGTATGGAATGATGGCACGTGTTGCTGTTCGCTTGTCTCCACATGCTTCCTTGTATCCTTCTCCCTTGCCCTAGCTGTTCCTCAGGCACGATTGCGGTATCTTCCTGGAAGCATAAGATGTTGAAGATGTACTCGAGGCAATGGGTAAGTAATAGGTAAGGGGTTCTAGGCAGTCAGTTCCTGGCTGGAAGTTTGATTCCAAGTGCTGACTGATTGCTCTCTTCTCCTTGTTTGCAATAAGAACAAGGCAAAGGAAAAGACAGGGAAAAAGCATGATATGGGATACTCTTGCTTTTTAACCCTGATGATATGAATATCTTGCTCTAGTATAGCTTGTTTGCAGAGATATTATCGCGGGGAAAGAAGCTGATATTCGAAAGGCGTTGGGTGCCCCATATGAGGAGGGTTGAGCATTTTTGCAGGTCTGCCTGTCGTTGGGGATGGAGGTCGACATATATAGAGTCTCCTTAAAACAAGTAATAATGCTATTCCGTTTCCTACTTGGTCATAGCCAGGGGGGCTCCAGCGTTCACATGTTTTAATTGTCAGAGCACTTTGAAAGTGGTTTGTGGTATTGGAAAGGTGATGTTGCATGTGAAGTTACAGACAGCTTTATCCCCAAGGAGTCGGCTCTTGAAGTTGGGAAAGTTTGCCTCTTGTTTTCGAACAAGCAACTCCTTGGGGTCTGGCTCCGAGATTCGGAGACGATGCCTCTTCGATTTGAGAAAGCAATCATGCTGGGGGGCTCTCGAGATTCGGAGAACGATGCCTCTTCGATTTTTGAGAGATGCCTATTGTGGGTTTATCCAAAGGCATTTATTCCTTCGTCTTCTAGGCTGTACGCGTAATGAGCTCCAATGTCAACCTGTGCCTCCTTCTAGGGTTCTGTCCAGTACTAAGGTCGAATGATCCCTCCGGTGCCTCTCTTTCTGGGCTCACGACTGCTGAGATTCTAAGCAACCTTTGTGAGGCTCCCTCTTGTTTGTTTGTTAATAACATTTGTAATCGGGGATATCTTTTCCTTCATTTCACGTATTGTTTAATTACACAACCTTCTTCGCTAGTTCTTTGAATTTTCTTTGTTGAAGCTTTGTGAGTGGGCATTAGGTTTGAGTATGTTCCTTAATTTCCTGAGTGAGGAAAACTTCTCGGTTGGAGACTGGAAAATCCAAGTCATTGAGTGGGATCGGCTATATGAATTCTGAACGCTTGTGCTCGGTCTTGTGTTATGTCCTCGTTAGATCCAGTACTTAAGTCTTTTCTTAGTCTCTTCCAAGTTTTCTAGTCTTCCTACCCCTTCGGCTGAACTCTATCCTAGTCGCATCTTCAATCGAAGTCAGTAGGCCTTCTTTGCACATGTCCAAACCCGTAAAACCGATTTTCTCTCATCTTTCCTTCAATTGCGGCTACTCCTACTTTACATGGATATCCTCATTCATAAATCTTATCCTTTCTCGTGTGCCCACACATCCAACGAAGCATCCTCATCTCCGCTACCCATTTTGTGTAGTGTTGATGCTTTACGCCCAAATTCTGTGTCATACAGCATCGCCGGCCTTATTGCCTCTATAAAAATTTTCCCTTGAGCTTCGTGGCATATAGGCGTCACACAGCAGCCGGATCAATCTTCCATTCATCCATCCACTTGTATCTAGGTTGAGATTTCCATCTATTCTCCGTTCTTTGCAATAGATCCTAGTAACGAAAACGGTCGCTCTTGGTATTTCTTGATCTCGATCCTCACCCCTAATTTTGGCTCCATTGCACTGAACTTGCACCTCATTTTCTGTCTTTGATCGGCTTAGGCGAAGATTTAGATTCCAAACTCCTCTCCAAAGGTAAGTTTGCATTACCCTTCCTGAGTTCATCTATCAACACTATTCGTCTGCGAAGCATACACCAAGAATATCATCTTGAATATGTCCTGTTAACTCATCAATTACAACGCAAAAANTATATGGGCTCAAGCAGGCGCCCCGTGCATGGTCCAATGTTTTTCCACTCATTTGGAAGATTTGGGTTTCCCCTCTACGCGGTCATCGTTTTTACCTAATTCATGGCTCAACTCGTATTTATCTCTTAATTTATGTTGATGATATTTTGGGTCCGGGAATAATCTCTTATATTGTCACCTCATTAAGATTTTGGGCCTCCGTTTCTCTATAAGGACCTTGGACGGTTCATTATTTCTTAGATGGAGGTGGTCCGCACTCCATCAGGTCTCTCTCTTTCCCAACAGAAGTATGCACTGACCTCCTTACCGCACCAAATGCGGTGCCGGGTTCCTACTCTGCCGTTAGTGGGCGACGGCTCAGTCTTCGGATGGTGACTCTGCCGGATCCTACTGAAACCGAAGTGTTGTCGGCGCCCTTCATTACTTGACTCTTCACTCGCCCCGAATCAACTTCGCCGTCAACCAAGTCTGCCAATCTTCACCAGCCGACTTCTACTCATTGGGCCGCGTCAGCATTCTTTCGTTACCTTGTCGGCACTACTTCTCACGGTCTTATCTACAAGCTGGTTCTTTTGTCTTACGGCATTTCCGATGCCGATTATGCCGGGATCCTGATGATCGGCGTTCCACCGGGGGGCTATTGCTGTACTGGGTTCCAATCTTGTCTCATGGAGTGCCAAGAAACAAAATGGGGTCTCTCCGGTCCAGCACTGAGCCGAGTATCGTCAATTGCAATCACCGCTGCCCTCTTTCATGGTTTCGTATGCTGTTCGTGACCTCCAGTTTCCTCTCCATTGTCCTTACCACTGTTCGTGTGACAATATCAGTGCTAATTCCTTTGCTTTCCAACCGGTGTTTTGCCCGCACTCGGCATGTTGAGGTAGATTCCATTTATGTTCGTGAAAGGTTGTCGCAAGGAGCTTTGATGTTCAGTTATCTTTCTATCATGATCAGATTGCTGACATCTTCACCAAGGGCCTTTCTCTTCCTCGTTTTCGACTTCTGGTTTCCAAGCTTCCTGTACTTGATTGTACTGTCAGCTTGCGGGGGTAAAGGATGATACATTCCTGATCTCTTGGGATTGTTTCCTGTTTATCATGATTTCCAGATTTCCCTGTTTTATTAAAACATTCCCTTTATGTATTCTTTGTAGATTAATTATACTTGTAAATCAAGTCATTGTACACTATTTAAATCAATGATAATGCACCCTCTATAGTATCGAGGGATTGAGCCAAAATACCTTCTTTTACTTTTGCTGTCTTGTCTGCAATTCCTCCTTTGAGTTATCTTTTAGTTAGTATCAACAAGGACAAGAATTCCAGGGATGGTGACCGTGCGTAGACCTGATGAATCAGTGGTGTGTCTCGGTTGGCTACCCATACGAACTTTTTTACTTGATCGCTAGAATGGGACTTACAATTACAATTAACCGAGTGTTGACTGGCCAGCCTGTCCAGGTTCAGATAGACTTAACTCCATATCATGAGTAGCTGTCCAACCAGGTTCATAGGCTTCAAGGAAACCGATCTTTGCCTTGTCGGGGAGATCATGGGAATGAACAAATGGCACCTCGTTTGGCCACCCAATCTCCATTCTTATATTGGCAAAGGGGCTATCAAGTGTCTGAATGTGATTCTCACACTCCTTCAGGTTGCAGAACCTCAGCTTGATTCCCTTCTTGTCTGCAATGTCTTGAACCCTTTCCATCAGGACTCTCTGGACCTCGACCCACAATCTCTTGGAAGGTGGCAGAGGTTTGGTTCTTTCACCCTTTCTCCTCCTCAACAAAGGCTTCATAGATCCTGTTCCAGCATTTCATCGATCCAAGGAACCTAATGTTAAAAAGCTTCTCACATAAGAGATACACATAAACACGTGCAATCCAATATCAAGAGGACTCAAGAGACGGATATAATTTTTAGAAGATAAAACTAGATTGAAGATCCTTGTTATGACAGCAGAAATGCGAAAACTATTAAGTAGTTGATGATTACTATCAATAGAGTTGGACTTAATTTAGCTTATACATTGAACTTATTTTTAGTGTGTGCATGTGCTTCAGTCAGTAAGACCAATCCTAATTAAAGTAAGCTGTCATTAAAAAAATTGCATTCATGAAATCAATTTACAGTATGTAACAAGCAGGCAATTGGTAAAGAAGATTAAATGCAGCATACCATCTTGTGCTGCATGGAAATTGGAACTTTGGAAACCGTGTCTGTTAAAGAGTTGATTGGTGGGGTGAGATCTCTGCATAAAGTCATCAACCGCTACTGGAAGCTGGAACTGAGCTTCAACCCCATGACCAGCAGCTCTCATCTCTGAACAACTAAGATTGGTCATGGATTTAGGCATGAATTTAAAAGCCAAAGAACATCGCCCAAACAAGTTGCTCTGTGTATTAGCAGTCTCCGTTCTCTGCAGTGCAGGGTTAACATATCCTGCAGTTGCCTGATAGAGTGCGAGTCCAGGGTAAACAATAGCTTCTTGAGGACCAGTCACGAGGGTCATTGTTATTAACCATATCTGCAGCTGGGTATGATGCTTTCTGGTGGAAGTAGAAGCGAGCCGAATCTAAACCCAACCTCAAAAGAGCCCCATCACTCACTGGAAAACTGAATGATGGCAGCAGAATAGAGTGCTAGTGATTGTGACAAAGTTGAAACGGATAGTTTGTAAGATTCTGATGGAAGGCCTTCAGCAGGTGCCAGATCAGTTAGCTTCACACGACCTAGAGATGGCAGGCCATTACTTGCCATGAAACCCTTTGGGTATACTTGCTACCTGATTTTGAAGAGAGGCACAGGTTACCACTGACATAACTCAAAATTAATAAACTGAAAACAGCATAATCATTCATCAATCAGAATCTCCTCTTTTTTTTCTTATGAGAATTTAGGAACTCCTTGACCCTTAAGCCGAAGCCACAAAAACTGAACCATCTACGTACTGCAAAGAAAGAAAGTATATGAAGCATAAATATATACATACAAATACATGTGTGTACATATATGAACATTTTATATTGAAAAAGTGCTCTCCTAAGGTCCTTAAAAAAGTCAAGCTGCTCAACTATTGATCGTATATGTACGCTAGAAATGCAAGATCTATGATACGTTGCATGCCGAGGGGACATTTGACCTATGTACAGATAAAGTTAGAAACTAAGGGCCTGTTTGGTATCCTATTTGAAAATTTTTATCATTTCTCAAAACATTTTTTAAGAACATTTCTTGAAAATAGTTTTTTTGAAGACTCAAAAACTTGATTGGTTTCTAATTTAAAATTTTTAAATCTTACAACTTAAACTATAACAAAGAGATCTAAAAAGAGGAGGACGCAAGAGAGGTAGAAAGAGGAGAGAGGAGGAAAGAAAGTAAGAGATGATTTAAGGAAAAAGAAAGAAAAGAGAGAATTGGACGAGATAAAGAGGAAGATGAGTGAGAAAAAAAACCTAAAGAATAAAGAAAGCGAATTGGAGAAGAGACGAAAAAGATAAAAAAAAAAAAAGGATAAAGAAAGAAGAAAAGAGAGAGATTTAGAGTGAGAGTAGAGGAGGAAGAGAAAAGAAAGAAGTGAGTTTAAGTTTAAAAACTCTAAAAACTCACTTTTTAGTTTTTAGATAATATATTATATTTTTTAGTTAGTCTTAATTTCAGTTTTTTAAAATAGTCCTACCAAACAAGTTTTTAAGGTCTAAAACTTGAAAATTGTTTTTGAGTTTAAAAAGTTGGATTCAAGTACACTACCAAACAGGCCCTAAGTTTTTCCAATTACTAGTATGAGCAACGAACACAAAAAAATTTCTTATTAAACTTCGATCTAATAATCTCTTTAGTCAGGAAATTGAAGTGATATCCAAAATCTGCCACAATGTCATCTAAACTCAACACAAAAAAATAAAATTGCTGAACAGTTCTGCAAGATGAAGACTAAATGCTACAGCATCGACCGGAAACACTCTTCCAAACACAAAACCAGCCTTGCAACCATATTTCTTTCAAGTATATTGTCCAAACGGGGTAGTCTTTGCTCATACAGAAGATTGAAAAATCCTTAAACACACTCGATGCAGCAACGAACGATTACTGTCTCCATTAAGATTTATCCAACTGTTAAAATGTTGAGTTTGTTTCAAAAATTGTATTACTTTTCTCCCCAATTTTCAAACAAGAGCCCATAAGACCAATTGGCAACAATTTGCAATCCAGATTTAGCGTCATTAATTGTTACCCATCAACTAATTCAATCCAAAACGTGGAAAAAAAAAACTGGAACAATTTGTTTCCTTTACTTGATCTAATAAATATAGAAATGGTTCAAGAACACGGGAAATTCCCAATTCTCAAAACAAACAGAGAGAGAGAGAGAGAGAGAGAGAGAGAGAGAACTGACCTTCATTGGTAGAAAATGTTGCAGACGCCAACCAACCCAGAAGAAAGTTAAATTCACGGGAAGATTAGGGCTTTACAAAAGGGAGAGAGGAGAGGAACACACAACACAGTGCCTTTTTTCAATTTTTTTTAACAGTTACACTTTCATGGTGGATTTTACTTGCGGCAACCAAAACTTGGTGATGAGATGAAAATTTTGGATTTGGCAGTGACCGAACACAGAAGTTGTCGAAAGCCATATCACCTACGCCATAAATTTTTCGTTCTGACCGGAATGGGTGGTACATCGTTTGTTTATATATAAATTGTAAGAAATTTTATTTTTTAAGTTATTAATTTTTTAATATATATATCTCATTATTTATATAATGATACGAATTGTATCATTTCATATGCTAGTCATATTGAAATATTTCTTCTACTTGGATATGTCTTTCCGCTTCTCAAATTGGAGAAATTTATGTAAGAAGTAGCTAATGTTATTCACACGTTTATTTTTATCTTTCAAATACCTTTGTTAATATTTGGCCTTGATTTTCTCCAATTTACTCCATCCGAGCAGCGAATATTGAAAGAACATATGAGAAGTAAAAATAAGTATGTAGATAGCATAACCCTCTTTTTTATATACAATTGTTATTTTTTTAATTTGTTTTGGAGAATTCAACAAAACCGTCATAAAACTTATTTTCATAGCACTTTTGTTGTTTTGTAAAAATTTTCAGAATTCATTTAAAACGTTTCGAAAATGTTCCCATTGATGAAAATTTGTTCTAGCCACATACTAAAATCTGTTAGAATTTTTCTCCATTGATTTTTTTTTTTTGCCTTAAAAATGAACAATGTTTGGCCACTCAAGAATGAAAATGCCTCAGAAACAGTTCGTAATACTTTCATCAATTCCTACCATATGTTTTTATATAGCTCAATGACTAAACAATATAATTTTTTTTTTTGCTGAAAAATCATCTTTACGAATCGATTTATAATATGATATTTCCGATCATATTCACAAACTTTTGTGAATTGGCCTAAAGAGTGTAGCTATGTGACAATGACTTATATAACATTGCCTCCCGATTGAAGAAGTTATAGGAAAATCAAGAGACAAAATAAAGACGAAAATGTGTACGAAAATTATTTCCAAAATTTTATCGAGCCTCGACTAGTGAAATAGTGACTTCATTAGCTGAGCATGTTTTAGAAGAATGACCGGCTTCGAGTTCACTCATATCCCTTTCACTGTAAAAACCAGGTTTTAGAGGTGGGGGCAATGCACCTTCACTACCCAACATTAGAATTGCGGCTGACATGCTCGGCCTGTCTTCTGGATTCCTCTGCACACACAAAAGACCCACATGAATCGTTCTCACAACTTCATGCAGAGTGATGGAGTCCTCTATCGATGCATCAAGCAGTTCGAGAGGCCTGCCTTCTGTGTGTAGCATCCATGCCTAAAACACGAAAACTAGTGTACTTAGCAGAAGTAGTAAAGTCGAGCGATAAGAATTTTTAACTTGACATTTGATGTTGTTACACTCACATGTCCAAGAAGGTTGAGTTTGTGGTCTGGATGAGAGAATCCTCTATTTCTACTCCACTCACTATCTCTAGCACCAGAACACCAAAACTATAGACGTCGGACTTTATAGAGTAAAAACCATCAATTGCATATTCTGGGGACATGTAACCGCTGCAGACCAATGTGTCAAAAAACATTTTTATACGCAAAGAATCTAGACTTTCTAGTTTCTATTAGTGTTTTTAAAAATTCATTAAAAAAGAGCTGTACAATTGTGTTTTAGGATACTTACTACGTTCCGACCACTTTCTTCGTTTCAATTCCTCCAAAGCTTCTAGCCAGGCCAAAGTCTGAGATTTCGGGTTAAATTCACTGCCTAATAAAATGTTACTTGCTTTGAGATCTCTATGAATAACTCTCAATCTAGAATCTTGATGAAGATAGAGGAGCCCTCGAGCTATCCCATTAATAATTTCAAAGCGCTTCGCCCAGTCTAATAATATCCTTCTTGTTTGATCTGCAAAATATCATAATTCACAATTGTCAAAAAATACATCGTGCTAGGTTGCTAGCATAAGTGGACTAATTGAACTAAATGCAAGGTTTTGGAGTGGTCAAACCAAAAATAAAGAAGTCTAAGCTCTTGTTAGGCATGAACTTGTAGATCAGTATCATCTCATCTTCTTGAATGCAGCATCCAAGAAGCTTCACTAGATTCCTGTGCTGAAGTTTGGCAATATGTGTAACTTCATTCTTGAACTCGTTGAGTCCTTGTCTAGAATTTTTTGAAAGCCTTTTCACTGCGATTTCTTGTCCATCTTGCATCGTACCCTAAAATCCATCAACGTATGTTATGACCAAAATTCATATTTTGTAGTTTGCACACTACTTGTATCCATCATTCCATATTCTGACCAGAATTACATGTATCTATACAACTTCGAAACTATGAAGGACTATCTAGTTTTACCTTAAAGACAGATCCGAAACCGCCTTCACCAAGTTTGTTTTCATTTGAAAAGTTATTGGTTGCAGAAACTATAGTCATCAAGTCAAATAACGGTAATTCCAGATCCTCATTTTGGTTGCGTCCCAGTTTTCCTACAAAGACGCAGTGACAAGTGAAAAAAATTCCCTATACAACTGAACTATGTAGTTTGGAAAGAAGAGGGGCACAATAGTACAACCAACTTACCACCTTTTTGGTGCTGCTTCTTCCAAACATAAAACAACAGAGAAAGGCCCAGGATCAGCAATCCGATAGACAACACAATAGTGCTTATTATGATTCTCATTTTCTTTTCATTGGATTCAGAGTATTTAGCGTTGATCTTTGTATCGTCTTCATGATCTACAAATGATATTTATGAAAACAGAAAATCTATGAGTCGGAGAGTAAAAAACAAATAAATAAAAACTGTATAATGTCTATCATCCAACTAATAGTTTCTAGTTTGTGAGACAATTCTAATAGAGGATATTGCTAATTGTGTCAACATTCAAAGTTAAAACTGTTAGAATTAGTACAATGTTTCACTTCGTTATGTCTTGACTTTGTTTCGAGCATATGATTATGACTAAATGCATAGTCACCAAAAGGTGTTTTTTACGTACTTTGTTCTGCTGCGGCCATTCTTATATAAATATCTTGCCCGTTTTCAGCAGTGTATCTTATATCAATTAGATCACCGTACCACAGCAAGCACCCAGTTCCTCCATCCCGGATATCCAAATTTGTATAAGCCGTGCAGGAGCAGTTCTTCATGCACACCATCTCACATTCCTTGAGGTTCATACTTTTGTTATGCCATGATTGTTCTGTGCTAGGCAATTTCACCCCCGAGTACTTTTGGAACATGTCTCCGGTGCAATTTAGAGAAGTCTTTCTCACACAGCCATGAGACCAATCCACCAAATCCCATTCTTTCGGGAACTTTGGTGTAAATCCTTTCAAACAGCTACAAACCGGGGACTCTTCAATGTTACATGCACCATGTACACCACACAATGCATAGTTTACACAGTCATCAATTTTGGCTGATTGGTAAAGAACCCAACCTCTGGTTCTATCAATCCATGTGTAGCGCTGCACAAGTCCATCTGAAGTTAACACCACCCTCGAAAAGATTGAGTTGTTGTGAAGCTTGTAACTGTAGTACATTTCATCAGGCTCAGAAACAAAACTGTATGTGAATATAGGGTTTGGATTGAACTGAGGGCTTCCACTGAACCCGACTCCATTCCATGGTCCAGACCGATATTTAATGACCGAACCTTCCCTCACAAATAATTCTGCATATCCCTTGGGACCAAGTTGAGATGTACGATTTCCTTGAGAAGGATCCTGAGGACTTTTCCACGATCTAAGATGCCAATTGAAGCCTGTAACTGTGTTCCTACCAATCTTCATACCTGGTAAGAATGTATCGCCAGGGTAATCAAAACCTTGCCACAGAAAGTTCTCAGAGTCGTCATCACTCCTATCTATCACGACAAGATTACCCGAATCCAAAAGACGTGCCACTGGATTCTGTGCAGTTCTCGATGTGTTGGAGGACCAAATTGTGCTCATGTTGTGGTTGAGGACAAGAATTCCGGGGTTGGTGACCTTCAAAACGCCGGACATATCAGCGAGGGGCTTGTCTCTGTTGGCAACCCACACAATGGTTGTAACAGATATCTGTTTACCATATCGCCACGTACCGTCTATTAGAAGCATCAGGATAGTAAAATCCTAGCTCAAACGTACCGCCAGTTGAAACTACAGTCTCACCGTCTCTAATGGACTGAAATGTACTCGTGGCGTCATCAGCTGTGGAGATTACGGCTGCGACCATGAGCAGCAAAGAAGAGTAGAAAAGAAGCAAGCACATCTTAGCTAAAGCATTTGACGGATTTTTCATAAACTTCATGGGAAAGCACTGAATATTGTCTGTCATTTGAACACCTTATTGAAATAACGTTGATACCTTTTCCTGCAAGCAACCAATCATTTTCAAGTTCAATATTGTTGAATAGTCGGGTGCGTGAGAAAGTTGTCTTCAATCCGAAGTAGACTTCGCATTCGGTTAAGAATGATGTTGTCGTAGCCGGATATTTCACTATGACAACTAAGATTGTTCATCTAGTAGAAAATATCCGAATTAATATGTGGTCATATCCAGTTCCCTCGGCTCAAAGGAAACTTAAATGTCTGATTGGTGTACTCTCTCGCATTAGTCTTGTATTCGATATCGTTTTCTTTCCTTTTCAATTCTTGTAATTCAAGATTAATCCCACGTTAGAAAGTATCAATAAGAGCGTCTTCGGTGGGCGATAATATTCCCTGTAACTGGTTGTATATCTCATTGTGTCTATCTCCCTAATCACGTTAAGTTTTTCATTTTCAAAGTCAATCTGTTACACATGTAATGGATCAATTTGGTACCCTGTCATTTTCTTTAGTTTATACTAAAAATTATTGGCCGCACGTTGTTGCAGGATTAAAAATTGTAAAAAGCATTATATTTGAAAGATATAAAAGATTGTGTCAAGAAGATTAATACAACTCATTGCTATATTTAATTGATACTCCACATAAAAATCGTAGAAGTTTTGGCTATCTATGTACATAAAATATTAGATCAACACATTCCACTTAGGTAGTTTTTGTGATTTTCGATTGACAGCAGTACTTAAATACGAAAGATTACGAAACTTTGGGTTATTTACATGAAAAAAATGTTAAGAAATACTGTCATTTACATTGATAAAATATGACAAAAATTGTTCAATGGAATACCAAAAGATCACTCCACTACTCTTGATTGTCAAGAAATTAGTTTAAACCAATCCAAAGATCAAAACTCTTTCAAAATTCCATGTGTATTCAGTTTCTCTAAATCAACCAACTTCTCCATTCCAAACCATCTAACAAATATTTGGCAGCAATACAGCCATCAACAAACATTTTAAACCCATTTCCATGTGTATTAATGATTTTCAACCAAATTATTTGAAGATGGGGAATCACAGAGCGAGCTTAATTAGGAACCAAAGAAGATCTGCAAAAGCAAGTTAAGAGATCATCGTACTACAGAAGCAAATTACATAATAAAATTAAGAGAGCATTATATTACCAAAGCATAATAATATGTTCATTTCCAAATGTATTACGAAAACCTATTGTTTCATTTTTTTTCAACCCACAAAATTTACAGTTTAGTTCAAAAAATTTGATCTGATTATTAATATTCACACGGAAAAGATACGACTCAAATGAACTGGGCATTTGAAGTCACTTTCTTATTTCTTATAACCACATCAGTATCATATATATATATATATATATATACAAACGTAGCAAAACAGCCCAGAGTTTTGGAACTGTATAAAACGTAGCAAAAAGAAAATGGGTTTGTTTCTTCACTTTGTTCCTCCTCCTTTCTTCTGATACGTAGGTGCTTTGACACTTTGTACAGCTCCAAAGCTGCCTCCTTGAGAAAACCAGTTTTTGGAAGCTCAACAAACCCTGCTTCTCCCAGATGGTTCTGAACAAAGCTTCACCTGCATCACTCGCACCATGGTCTATACACCTACATGCAACTTTTGATTTGATTATTATATATTTTATTATGTCGATACTCTACTATAGAAACAAAAATAATTACACAATACAATTCAAAAGGAGAAATAGTTCTTCAACCCAGTTGCAAGAGACGTCGAAAATAAAGAAATGGAGATATGTGTATTAACTTGTTCATATTTGAACACATATACTTATCTATGATATATTTTTTACAGTAGCACATGGCTAAAGATATGTTACGCGATAATATATGTTATGCCAATTATTGACTGAAGACATGGCAGAAGAAGCAAAACGAAAAACAATGGCAAAGAATTTAGAGAGAGAAAGTGAATGACTAAAGATTGTATTCCTTGAACAATGAAGGAATTCCAGAGAGAGGCGTTCGTTATTTATACAAGTATTCTTTGCTTCACTCATAAGCTACTTACCAACTTTCTTATCCCTACAAATCCCAACAGACTAACAGCCTTCCTACAATCTCAACAAACTAACTGCCTCGCTGATGTGTGCCTTGCTGATGTGTAACCTTCATGCTGATGTGTCTGTAGAGCCATACTGATGTGTACATATCAGTCAACAGACCCATGGCCTGAAGCAATAACTTTATGTTTCTTGAGTATTCATCTAATAAAAGGCTATTTGGGACAAGACTGGATCTTTAAGATAATCTGATGTGCTGCAACAACATACATGGAGACCTAGAAAACAAAAAGCAAAGAGCATTGGTAAGTAATAATAAAACATAAAAAGTACACAAATTTATCAACAAGCCATGAATGACCAATCTTGTGATAATTCCAAATCATGTTTTTTTTTTTTTTTTCAAATGGTAATTCATTCAACACGATAGAACTCCCTGTATACAAGGAGGAGAGATAAGCATATGAGAACACCAAATAAACTTCAATAGACCATCTTTTACAATCACACACACTAGTAAAACTGCTTGCAAGTCACAATCTTTCACATAGTTTTTCCTAAACCCCATGCATGCTTCCCTCCTAGCAAAGCAGTTACAAACTTACATGATGTCTGACATGGTTAAAGACAAGGGCAACTTTTACAAAAGAAACGCACCAAGTAATCAACCACAGAGCATTATCGTGTCTATCAAGTCTCACATGTTTTGTACATCCTAAATAATGAAAAAGCATTATCATTCAATTCCATCTTTAGCAGCTTTGGCCTTATGAAGAATCGCAGCTGCTAAAGATGCTAAGCATGGAAAATCAAAAGCGTCCAACAATGAATATAAAGTGGGATAAAGTATGCAACAAGAAAATAAATCACTAGGCTGGGGGAGGAAAAGAAGTTGGACAAAGGACATGATTTTACAACAAAAAAGATATCCGATAATTTGGCAACTGATTGCCAACAAACAGGTTCTTACAACGAAAAATAATGACACCACTGATGCACAAGGACAACTTGCTTAGCATACTATGACCATACCTTCCAATATACAACAGCAACTAACAAGAAAAAGAAGCACGATGCAAAACAAGAATCAAATAGAAAACTAAGAAAAACGTTAGCCAAAACCTATATATTTCATCTCTCCCTTCCCCCTAAAAGAAAATACTAACAAGGAATAAGAAAATCCCTGGCAGGCAACGTTACATTGTCCCTTCAACCCCTTTTCCTACCAAAATATTTCCACCCATAGAGACACCTCTTCGACTATCTATGTTAATTGTTACAGTCTCAGGGAAATGCTCTAAAACCCACAGTGATGCAGCTCTCCAATATGGATGAGTGACCGAGGGACATTTCAAACCCATTTTCCAATCTAGCCTACGCATTTTCTTACGATTTCACCATGCAAGAAAGGCTTCTCAGTGTGTGTTTAACTCCCAGTACAAAGGGTTATTTATGCCGAACCCAATTTTTGTGAAAAAAATTATGGAATTTGCCAAAACCCCTAAAAATATTTAGCTCAAACACTTCACAAACGATGATTCTGCACTAATTTTACGACCCCAAAGCATCTCTTCTTTCATAAAACACAATTTGGGTCAAAACCCAAATGTATCAAAACTCAATTATACACACTGACCAATAATCAGTAAAATAACCATTAAAATGCATCAAACTGATTAACATTTCAGCTGACCAAATGCAGAAAGAACCAGCTTTTTCCATCATACAAAGCCAAGCTCACAACCGAACCCACTAAATCGCACAGCTCGGAACCAGATCCAATTCTTTACAAACCAGAATCGTAATAAACCTTAAAAATCAGACTTTGTTCTTTTTCCCAAGCACAAGTTAAACCAGAGAAACCAAGAAAACTAACTTATTTTCTCATAATCATCATATTTTCCCAAAAAAATTGAAATTTTCCATGGAAAAATCAAGAAAACGAACCTGGAGATGCAGCGGCTACGGGAGAAGACCGAGATTGAACCTGGAATGAACATGTTTTTTAATTTTCTGATTTTATTGCTGCGGCAAACTAATTAGAAGGGAAATCCCAAAATCAAGTCTTATATTTTGGAGGCATGTTTTCACTAAATCAGTGTTCGTGTGTCCCCAACAAATTGAGTGAGTTTATGGCTGTTGCATATAAGGCTAGATTGGAACTCTAATACATTAGGATAGTGGGTTCCAAAAATTTAAGAGTATGAACAGAAAGAAAAACGCATCAGACCTCCTAGAAGCAATTTTTTTTTTTTCAGTTGCAGATCGAAGCAATACAAAGAAAGAGAAACCGAGAGGCAGATCGTACCTAGACTGGAGATGCAGAGCTGAAGTTCACAGAGAAGGTTGCAAAGGGGAGATGCAGAGGATGAGGAGGAAGGTTGCGAAGGGGGGAGATGCAGAGGAGAGGAATGAGGAAGACAACGGCAAGGCAGAGAGAAGAGATATTGTTTTAGGGTTTGTAATGATTTAGATGGTGTAATTTTTGAAAAAGATATGGGGTATATTTGTCTTAAAATGGTAAAATATTGTGTTCCACAGGCGTGGAACAACCTGTTCCAGGGGGTAGACGCGGGACACAAAAACACCCAAATTCTGTCCCGTGGAACAGCACGTTCCACCCTATTTTGGCGTACCAAAGGCGGGACGGAACGTCTTGTCCCGTTCCGTCCCGTCCCATCCCGCTTACCAAACGCACCCTAAGTGACCCTGGTGTGAATATTTCCCAGAGCCGAACAATACCCTTTTTGTGCACAGTTTTGTGCAAACTGTAACAGGACAGAATGGTTATGATCATTACTGGTAAAGAATAAGCAATATGCAACACTCGAGAACAGTATTTTAATGTAATCTGCCTAAGGCTCTGGGTTTAAATTTCATCATCCATGTCAACTGCAATATCGACCGTGATATGCAATACTTCAGATTAAAATACTTGTAACGCAACTCCATACTTGCCAACATGGAAGCAAAAGGAGGAAAGGAATGCATATTCTACTTTACCTTCTGAGTAAGCACTTGAAAGCTCTTTTTGAACTCTTTTGTGCTCATCCTAATTTTGTGATCGCTCAATTTCAAGTGTAGCCTCTCTTTTCTAGTGAGAGATTCCACTACAACCTGATAGGCATATTCAAGCATTTAATAATCTACAGAAATTAACTCAGCAATATTAAATATCAAACCCACTTACTTACCATCTATCTTATCCAACTCTTATTTCGGTTTCTCTGTCAAAGCTTCGCAATAATCTAATTCAATTACTCTTCCTTGCTTTTTAATAAGATCCCTACAATCAAACAAACATAATTATTCTAGTAAACACATTCGAATTCAAACACATAAAAGATGTTATTCATACCCATATCGTCATATTGCTGCTCTGATCTTGAAAAATTAAAATTAATAATAATCGTTCAAATCATATTACAATATATCACAAACTATGACATCTGATAATCAATACATTTAAGAAAATTTAAAATGAATTCAATTCACTCCAAACGGTGATATTATATGTTCACATATATATTCACAACAACAACAAAATCACTTTCTAGCCACTGGGATAAAAATAAGAACAGAAAACATTAATTCGAGTGCACATATGAACATCACATAAAAATCATAACAAAATCCAAAACAGAAGGAGAGATAACAAAAATGATAATTTTTTGGGACTTACAATTACAATTAACCGAGTGTTGACTAGCCAGCCTGTCCAGGTTCGGTTATACTTAACTCCATGTCATGAGTAGCTGTCCAACCAGGTTCATAGGTTCATAGCCTTGTTGGGGAGATCATGGGAATGAACAAATGGCACCCCGTTTGGCCACCCAATCTCCATTCTTATATTGGCACGGGGGCTATCAAGTGTCTGAATGTGATTTTCACACTCCTTCACGTTGCAGAACCTCAGCTTGATTCCCTTCTTGTCTGCAATGTCTTGAACCCTTTCCTTCAGGACTCTCTGGGCCTCGACCCATAATCTCTTGGAAGGTGGCAGAGGTTTGTTTCTTTCACTCTTTCTCCTCCTCAACAAAGGCTTCATAGATCCTGTACCAGCATTTCATCGATCCAAGGACCTGCTGTTAAAAGCTTCTCACATAAGAGATACACATAAACACGTGCAATCCAATATCAAGAGGACTCAAGAGACGGATATAATTTTTAGAAGATAAAACTAGATTGAAGATCCTTGTTATGACAGCAGAAATGCAAAAACTATTAAGTAGTTGATGATTACTATCAATAGAGTTGGACTTAATTTAGCTTATACATTGAACTTATTTTTAGTGTGTGCATGTGCTTCATTCAGTCAGTAAGACCAATCCTAATTAAAGTAAGCTGTCATTAAAAAAATTGCATTCATGAAATCAATTTACAGTATGTAACAAGCAGGCAATTGGTAAAGAAGATTAAATGCAGCATACCATCTTGTGCTGCATGGAAATTGGAACTTTGGAAACTGTGTCTGTTAAAGAGTTGATCGGTGGGGTGAGATCTCTGCATAAAGTCATCAACCGCTACTGGAAGCTGGAACTGAGCTTCAACCCCATGACCAGCAGCTCTCATCTCTGAACAACTAAGACTGGTCATGGATTTAGGCATGAATTTAAAAGCCAAAGAACATCGCCTAAACAAGTTGCTCTGTGTATTAGCAGTCTCCGTTCTCTGTAGTGCAGGGTTAACATATCCTGCAGTTGCCTGATAGAGTGCGAGTCCAGGGTAAACAATAGCTTCTTGAGGACCAAGATCGTCTTCCACAAGAACCCAACGACCCTGAAAGTCCTTTATGTGTAGACCAGCCTTGTCTGACTTGACAAGAGATATCAAGCTTTTGTCAACTTGATGCTCATGGTCAGAAAACATAACCAACTGGCCATCCTCTTGGGTCGTAAAACTATGGTGTTATGTAACCTGAAATGATGGCCTTGCATGACAACAGACAGATAATACTGAAGAAGATATTTACCTGTTTCTTAAGGGAACATTATCAAGTACTTCAGTAAATGGTGAACTCCTCAAGTTCAAATAGAAGCTGATAGTGTCCAATATATCTCGAGCTGCCTTTGCAAGCAGTGAAAATATATCTGGTAAAGCTGCTGGAGCAAATTCCATTGTGTTGTCGGGCTCTAAAGGAGTGAGTCCAGGTCTGTAATCATAGGTTTCTAGCCACAATTGAGGATCTGCATTATAACCGGAAGTCTTGCACCAGTCACGAGGGTCATTGTTATTAACCATATCTGCAGCTGGGTATGATGCTTTCTGGTGGAAGTAGAGGCGAGCCGAATCTAAACCCGACCTCAAAAGTGCCCCATCACTCACTGGAAACTGAATGATGGCAGCAGAATAGAGTGCTAGTGATTGTGACAAAGTTGAAACAGATAGTCTGTAAGAATCTGATGGAAGGCCTTCAGCAGGTGCCAGATCAGTTAGCTTCACACGACCTAGAGATGGCAGGCCATTACTTGCCATGACACCCTTTGGGTATACTTGCTACCTGATTTTGAAGAGAGGCACAGGTTACCACTGACATAACTCAAAATTAATAAACTGAAAACAGCATAATCATTCATCAATCAGAATCTCCTCTCTTTTTTAATGAGAATTTAGGAACTCCTTGACCCCTAAGTTGAAGCCACAAAAACTGAACCATCTACGTACTGTAAAGAAAGAAAGTATATGAAGCATAAATATATACGTACAAATACATGTGTGTACATATATGAACGTTTTATATTGAAAAAGTGCTCTCCTAAGGTCCTTAAAAATGTCAAGCTGCTCAACTATTGATCGTATATGTATGCTAGAAATGCAAGATCTATGATACGTTGCATGCCGAGGGGACATTTGACCTATGTATGGATAAAGTTAGAAACCAAGTTTTCCAAATTACTAGTATGAGCAACCAAGACAAAAACTTTTCTTATTAAACTTGGATCTAATAATCTCGTTAGTCAGGAAATTGAAGTGATGTCCAAAATCTGCCACAATGTCATCTAAACTCAACACAAACTAGCAGTGTGGCTAAGTCAAACGATTGTCTGATACGAAAAAAGTAAAATTGCTTAACAGTTCTGCAAGATGAAGACTAAATGCTACAGCATCGACCGGAAACACTCTTCCAGACACTAAACCATATTCCTTCCAAGTATATTGTCCAAACGGGGTAGTCTTTGCTCATACAGAAGATTGAAAATCTTTAAACACACTCGATGCAGCGAGGAACGATTACTGTCTCCATTAAGATTTATGCAACTGTTAAAATGTTGGGTTTGTTTAAAAAATTGTACTACTTTTCTCCCCAATTTTCAAATAAACAAATCATAAGTGGCAAGAGCCCATAAGACCAATTGGCAACAATTTGCAATCCAGATTTTAGCTTCATTTATTGTTACCCATCAACTAACTCAATTCAAAAAGTGGAAAAAAAAACTGGAACAATTTGTTTCCTTTACTTCCATCTAGTAAATATAGAAATGGTTCAAGAACACGGGAAATTCCCAATTCTCAAAACAAACAGAGAGAGAGAAAGAACTGACCTTTATTGGTAGAAAATGTTAAATTCAGGGGAAGATTAGGGCTTTACAAAAGGACGAGAGGAGAGGAACACACAACACAGTGCTTTTTTTTTATTTACGGTTACATCTTAATGGTGGATTTGACTTGCGGCAACGAAAACTTGGTGATGAGATGAAAATTTTGGATTTGGAAGTGACGGAACACAGAGGTTGTCGAAAGCCATATCACATACTTAGACATGTCTTTCCGCGTCTTATGCTAGAGAAATTTATGTAAGAAGTAACTATTGTTATTCACACGTCTATTTTTATTTCAAATATTTTTATTAATGTTTAGCCTTGATTTTTTTCAATTTACTCAATTCGAGGAGCAAATATTGAAAGGATGTGTCATAAGTAAAAATTTGTGTGTAGATAACATTACTTTCTATTTTATATACAATTGTTATTTGGGGTTTTTAATCTGTTTTGGGGAATTCAACAAAACCGTCATAAAACTTATTTTCATAGAACTTTCGTTGTTTTGTAAAATTTTTCAGAATTCATTTAAAACGTTTCGAAAATGTTCCAATTGATGAAAATTTGTTCTAGCCGCATACTGAAATCTATTGGAATTTTTTCACGTTAAATTTTTTTTTTTTTGGCCTTAAAAATGAACAATGCTTGGCCACTCAAGAATAAAAATATCTCAGAAACAATTCATAATACTTTTATCAATTTCTATCATATGTTTTTATATAGCTCAATGACTAAACAACATCATATTTTATTTTTATTTTTTTGTTGAAAATCTTTACGAATCGATTTATAATATGACAGTTCCGATCACATTCACAAACTTTTATGAATCGGCCTGAAGAGTGCATCTATGTGACAATGACTTATATAACATTGTCTTCCAATTGAAGAAGTTATAGGAAAATCAAGAGACAAAATAAAGATAGAAGTGCGTACAAAAATCATTTCCAATATTTTATCGAGCCTCGACTAGTGAAATAGTGACTTCATTAACTGAGCATGCTTTAGAAGAATGACCAACTTCGAGTTCAGTCAGATCCCTTTCACTGTAAAAACCAGGTTTTAGAGGTGGGGGCAACACACCTCCACCACCCAACATTAGAACTACAGCTGACATGCTAGGCCTGTCTTCTGGATTCCGTTGTACGCACAAAAGGCCCACATGAATCGTTCTTACAACTTCATGCAGAGTGACGGAGTCCTCTACCGATGCATCAAGCAATTTGAGAGGCATGCCTTCTGTGTATAACATCCAAGCCTAAAACACGCAAACTAGGCTACTTAACAAAAGTAACAAAGTAGAGCAATAAGAATTTTTAACTTGACATTTGATGCTGTCACACTCACATGTCCAAGAAGGTTGAGTTTGTGGTCTGGATGAGAGAATCCTCTATTTCTGCTCCCACTCACTATCTCTAGCACCAGAACACCAAAGCTATAGACGTCGGATTTTATAGAGTAGAAACCATCAATTGCATATTCTGGAGACATGTAACCGCTGTAGACCAATGTGTCAAAAAACGTTTTTATACGCAAAGAATCTAGACTTTCTAGTTTCTATTAGTGTTTTTGAAAATTCGTAAAAAAGGACTCGTACAATTGTGTTTTAGGATACTTACTATGTTCCGACCACTTTCTTCGTTTTTGCTTTCGTTTCATTTCCTCCAAAGCTTCTAGCTAGGCCAAAGTCTGAGATTTTCGGGTTAAATTCACTGCCTAATAAAATGTTACTTGCTTTGAGATCTCTATGAATAACTCTCAATGTAGAATCTTGATGAAGATAGAGGAGCCCTCGAGCTATCCCATTAATAATTTCAAAGCGCTTCGACCAGTCTAATAACATCCTTCTTCTTTGATCTGCAAAATATCATAATTCACAATTGTCAAAAAATACATCGTGCTAGGCTGCTTGCATAAGCGGACTAATCGAACTAAATGCAAGGTTTTTGAGTGGTCAAACCAAAAATAAAGAAGTCTAAGCTCTTGTTAGGCATGAACTCGTAGATCAATATCATCTCGTCTTCTTGAATGCAGCATCCAAGAAGCTTCACTAGATTCCTGTGCTGAAGTTTGGCAATATGTGTAACTTCATTCTTGAACTCGTCGAGTCCTTGTCTAGAACTTTTTGAAAGCCTTTTCACTGCGATTTCTTGTCCATCTTCCATCGTACCCTAAAATCCATCAACGTATGTTATGACCAAAATTCATACTTTGTAGTTTGCACACTACTTGTATCCATCATTCCATATTATGACCAGAAGTACATGTATCTATACAACTTCGAAACTATGAAGGACTATCTGGTTTGACCTTAAAGACAGATCCGAAACCGCCTTCACCAAGTTTGTTTTCAATTGAAAAGTTACTGGTTGCAGAAACTATAGTCATCAAGTCAAATAACGGTAATTCCAGATCCTCCTTTTGGTTGCGACCTAGTTTTCCTGCAAAGACGCAGTGACAGGTGAAAAAAAATTCCCTATACAACCGAACTATGTAGTTTGGAAAGTAGAGAGGCAGAATAGTGCTACCAACTTACCACCTTTTTGGTGCTGCTTCTTCCAAACATAAAACAGCAAGGCAAGGCCCAGGATCAGCAGTCCGATAGACAACACAGTAGTGCTTATTATGATCCTCATTTTCTTTGCATTGGATTCAGAGTATTTAGCGTTGATCTTTGTATCGTCTTCATAATCTACAAATGATATTTTTGAAGACAAAAAATCTATGAGGTGGAGAGTAATAAATAAATAAATAAATAATGTATAATGTCTATCATCCGACTAATAGTTTCTAGTTTGTGAGACAATTGTAAAAGAAGATATTGCTAATTGTGTCAAAATTCACAGTTAAAACTGTCCGAATTAGTACAATGTTTCACTTCGTTATGTCTTGACTTTGTTTCGAGCATATGATTATGACTAAATGCATAGTCACCAACAAGTGCTTTTTACATACCTTGTTCTGCTGCGGCCATTCTTATATAAATATCTTGCCCGTTTTCAGCAATGTATCTTATATCAATTAGATCACCGTACCAAAGCAAGCACCCAGTTCCTCCATCCCGGATATCCAAATTTGTATAAGCCGTGCAGGAGCAGTTCTTCATGCACACCATCTCACATTCCTTGAGGTTCGTACTTCTGTTAAACCAGGATTGTTCTGTGCTAGGCAATTTCAACCCCGAGTACTTTTGGAACACGTCTCCGGTGCAATTTAGAGAAGTCTTTCTCACACAACCATTAGACCAATCTACCAAATCCCATTCTTTCGGAAACTTCGGTGTAAATCCTTTCAAACAGCTACAAACCGGGGACTTTTCGATGTTACATGCACCATGTACACCACATAATGCATAGTTATCACAGTTATCAATTTGGACTGTTTGGTAAAGAACCCAACCTTTGGTTCTATCAATCCATGTGTAGCGCTGCAAAAGTCCATGTGAAGTTAACATCAACCTCGAAAAGATTGAGCTGTTGTGAAGCTTGTAACTGTAGTACATTTCATCAGGCTCAGAAACAAAACTGTACGTGTATATAGGGTTTGGATTTAACTGAGGGTTTCCACAGAACCAGACTCCATTCCATGGTCCAGACCGAAATTTAATGACCGAACCTTCCCTCAGAAATAATTCTGCATATCCTTTGGGACCAAGTTGATTTGTACAATTGCCTTGAGAAGGATCCTGAGGACTTTTCCACGATCTAAGATGCCAATTGAAGCCTGTTACTGTGTTCCTACCAAGCTTCATACCTGGTAAGAATGTATCGCCAGGGTAATCAAAACTTTGCCACAGAAAGTTCTCAGAGTCATCATCACTCCTATCTATCACGACAAGATTACCCGAATCCAAAAGACGTGCCACTGGATTCTGTGCAGTTTTCGATGTGTTCGAGGACCAAACTGTGCTCATGTTGTGGTTGAGGACAAGAATTCCGGGGTTGGTGACCTTCAAAACGCCGGACAAATCAGTGAGGGGCGTGTCTCTGTTGGCAACCCATACAATGGTTGTAACAGATATCTTCTTGTACCATATCCCCACGTACCGTCTATTAGAAGCATCGGGACTGTAAAATCCTAGCTCAAACGTTCCACCAGTTGAAACTACAGTCTCACCGTCTCTAATGGACTGAAATGTACTTGTGGCGTCATCAGCTATGGAGAATACTGCTGCGAAGATGAGCAGCAAAGAAGAGTAGAAGAGAAGCAAGCACATCTTAGTTGAAGCCTTCAATGGTTTTTTCATTTAATTCATGGGAAGACAAATTGTCCCTCTACACCCTTCTTACATGTATGATTTCGAATTTTTCTGTCATTTTCGACTGCAATATTGTGATTTCGCATTTTTCATTAAATTCAAGGGAAGACAAATTGTTTTCCAGTGTGAAACTGAGGAAATGGTTTTCAATCGGAAGTAGACATCGGACTCGGTCCAAGAATGATATTGGGGCCTGGCTTCTCTGCTCTCTCCGTTCCCATTCACTCACATCCCCTCTGCTTTTTTTATTAATGTCAACATTTTATATTATTATTTTTTTTTGTCTTATTATCTTTATAAAAAATTCAATATAAAATGTTGACATGATTTAACCGTGACCACACAAAATAAAAAAAGATGGAAGTGCATGAGAACTGGAAGTGCAAAGAAGTCGGGTCAATTATATTGTCTTAGCCTCACAATTTCCTATGACAATTAAGTTTTTTCATACAGTAGTAAAATATCTAAATTAATTTGTGGTCATCCAATTCCCTCAGCTCAAAGGAAGCTTACG